ATGCTTTGAAATTATATTGTTATTAGGGCTGTCAATCGATTAAAATATTTAATCGCGATTAATCACATGATTGTCATGAGTTAACTCGTGGTTAATCGCAACTTAATCGCACATTTTTATCTGTTTTAAATGTACCTTAAATTAATACTTTTCAAGTTTTTAATACTCTAATCAACATAGGCATGGACAATTATGGATGCTTTATGCAAATGTACATATGTTTATTATTAGTAAAACCATAGTCAACAGAGCATGAAGAATACACATGTTTCAAAGGTCATAGATGTTTTTCAAAGAACTTGTTCATGTCTATTAGACACATGAAAAAAGAACATAGAAAAACCAGGTTCCCATTACTTATCTTTCTTTGCACTGAGCAATATTTACACAAGCCTGTTTACATTTTTGCATGACAGGGCAACTCACTTTTTCTGAACATGCAAAATGTACATTTATTATTTATTATTAAATTTGTTTGCCTCTCTGTGCCCATACTGTATTTTTATGCAGCTAAATTCTCAATAAAACCGTTTTCGTTGTTATATTTTACTGCTTCTGTTGTCAGACAACGGAATGAATATGAAACAGTGACTGAAACGCGACCCATTAAGACTTCATAACCAGCTCTCCCTTCCAAGATGTTAATCTGCACAAAAATCCTGCAAGTCTCAGAAACTAAATAAGGTTTGTCCAAGGTACTTTTTTGGAAGGGAAAAAAAAAAAATGTCGCTAAAGGGGACTGAAAAGTCACTAAGTTGGCAACACTGTTCCATTTTTCCAACTACAGGCTAGGCAGCGGGTCAAACAGAAAATGTGCACTGCGTTAATCGCACGTTAATAAAATTAGTGCCGTTAAAATCAGTTTGCGTTAACGCGTTAACTTTGACAGCCCTAATATATATACAGTTGTGCTCATAAATTTACATGCCCCTTGCACAATATGCACAATGTTAATAATTTTAACAAAATAAGAGGGATCATGAAAATTGCATGTTATTGTTTGTTTAATAATATCCTGAATAAGCTATTTCATATAACAGATGTTTATATAGGCTATTCTCCACAAGACACAATAATAACTGAATTTATAAAAAATGACCCACAGCACACACTGAACAATGACACACACCAATGTACATGTACACAAATAGTGCCGTTTTTTCTCCAAAAATGACAATTTTTTACAACAGTTCAATAAACAAGTTAATTAAGAGACTTACGTTTTACATTTACATTTAGCAGACGCTTTTATCCAAAGCGACTTACAAATGAGAAATGTTTTAGACACCACATTGCCTGTTTTTGCACTATTTCGACAACAAAAATAATTCCAAACACCGCTACAGCGCTGTTTTGCGTCTCTGAGCAACATGACGGTGTTTCGTTCCTGAATGAATCAACCATTTAAATGATTCAGTTCAATCGCAATGACTCACTTCTTAACAGTGACTTGCTGCCACCTGCTGGC